GTACCTTATCCCAAGGACGCTACACCGGCATCGTCACCACCAGATCCATTGCAGAAGCAGTGTTCACCTCACAATTGCCCACAACTTGGACATTGACAGCATTGCCGAATACTTGCACCAACAAGCTGACCAATCCATCCCAAACAAAACGACAGAAGCCAAACAATTTATGCAACCACTCATCTCCCGCATCATTGACTTCCTACGAGGCCTCACACCACCTGCAGGCGAAGGTACAGCACTCCGAAAACTTCAGTTACAGACAGATCGCCTACAACAGCAAGAGAGCGAACTCCAGCGCGCTCGCGACAAATTGAAGACTCACGGCATTGCGCTTACACCAACAAAACCAGGAACACACCCAGCCCCATCATCAGCCTCCCAACCCCAACCACATCTCCCACTTACAGCCCCAGCCGCACTCACAACCAATACCATTCTCAACCCCACTACTCAAACGCTACACGACAACTCACCAGCCAACTACGCAGCAGCAGGCATCCAGAAATGGCTCAAGACACTACCACCAGCCACTCAGACACAAGTCACCAACATTCAGCAAATTCTTCGTGACGAACGCATCACAAAAGAACAGCTCCAAGAGGCCGCCACCCGTTACGGCATCCCACTCACCCGGGTACTTAAGCTCCCACCACGTTCACTACAGCAACTGGTGGCAGCGGGCTCGGCCTTAGCAGCCTGACTCGCACAACAAGCGCTGCATCAACCAACACACCTCACACTACAATCCTTGACCACACTTCACACAGCACTTTCACACTTTGTACACTTCACACCCTACATTGACAAGACCCACGCGATTTTCTCCGTTTGTCTTATTCACCTTACATGCCTCTTTGCCTTTCCATCTCAAACACACCACTCCATACAATGGCGCTCACGTTTCAACCAGCTACATGTCACCCCACACACCTACCATTACCAAATGTTCACACATCCAAATGCAGTCTATGCAAAACTCTTCTTCAACCAGCACCATACCAGACACCAATATCACCAGCATGGGCACACTTACATCGGCTCCACCAGCATCACCATACCGAAGCGAGAATACAACCGCCGTGCCAAACTCAAACAATTACACAACAACCATCCAATCTCGGCCGAGCTATCCCTACGTTACTGGCATTCCAAGAACAACCTCCATCACTACAGTACCATCTACCTTTCCCACCACGAAACCTACGATCAAGCTTGGACCTATGAGCACTTACGAATACAAGAATGGCAGCCTACCCTCAATTGGCCATACATTCAACGACATTTAAAACTCGAAGCCTCCGGCTGGCAATTCGCAAAACATCGCACCACTTTCACACGCATGTCCACTCACAAACGTCTTTTCCAACGGCTTCGACGACGACAAAACACTATCAAGCAGCCCCACCTCCACACAAGTCAACGCTTACATGCACTGACAGTTCTACGTGAACTCAGCAAACATACACATTCATCCTTTGAAACTTCAACAGCCATCCGTAGCGGCAAATATACTGATCTTGAGATCTATGCCTTCCGTCGCATGGCCGCCAGCTTAGAAGAACCCGATAGATCACGAGTCCTTCACCTTATACATTCAGCACTCAGCTTCCGCAACCTCACTCCACCCAAAGCCAACAAGCCCTTCACCATCCCTTTCCTCTCCCACAGTACTTTCTCTTCCTCCACTGAAAAAATGGCTTCGCACATTGATTCAACACCACATGCATCACGTTATACCTTTCCATCCACCCACCACAAAACTACGCGAAGCAGCGCACAAGACATTACGCTCCAGGCTTTACAATCGCAAACGGTGGGAGGACCTCTTCTCAGCACAACCCTCAGCGGCCGACATGCCATGCAGCTGCCACCACATGCACTCCCTACTTCGACCCAACCACACACCACCGCTCTACGATGGCCACTATGTGCTCACACTCGATGACCTGCAGCTACCCAGCCACCTTCAAATCTTTTTACAAGCCAACATGAACAGCACTTTCTTTCCCACGAAGACACAATATTTTCAACGCTTCCAACAACAACTCACTCAATGGCTACGACGCCATGGTTTACCTACCACCCTTCACCAACACAGCCTACTTTTCCTACACCAACAATGGAAACAACACATTGACCACATCCTACACACACCACGATTCACTTCACGCAATGTCACACAACTGCAGCAGTTCCTCACAGACAAGCTGGTGTTACATCACGCCGATCACGAACTACAAAATCTACGGCTTTTCTGCCCACAACACTATTTCCACGGATGTCTCACCACTTGGAACACACCACAACTTTTTCTACCACTACCAGATCTCACGGCCCAACAACTCCACCAACTGCTCACTCAATCTTTCCCCACCAACATACGACGAGCTTACCCATGGGGTTTCCGCAAACAATTCCACACGCCACACGGAGTAGTCTTCCTCAAACAAAAGAAGTTATGGCGAAAAGGAAGAACAGTCATCAGTTACTTCAAATCTATAGCAGGCACATTGTTGCGGGCCACCTCCAAAGCCTTGGACATTATGCTTCTTCATTTTCTACCTCAACATCCAGGTCAACTTTCTATCCCCAACCTATGGCAACAACTTCACAACCACTTCCAAACAACACCTGACGACATTCACCTCACACCGATCAATGATGACCTCGTCGGCTTCTTCAACAGTGTACCCCAACAACGTCTCGTCGACGCAGTCATCAGCCTATGCAATCGCGGGAAAGCTCAACACGCCACTACCACCATCACCATTGACGTCCAATCCACCGGCAATCCCATTCAACACTCCCACATCGGTCGACACTACATTCACCACCCACAACAACGCACACTCGACATTCAACATCCCCCTGATTGTACAACAAGCACTTCAATCTTGCATTTTTCAAGCCTGTAACACTTACTACAAACAAATTCAAGGAGCAGGCATTGGTAGTCAGCTTTCACCAGCACTCTGCAACGTTGCAATCACGCTCATCGAACACACCTGGCAAACCACCTACCACACCTTTCTGCACCAACCCAGCCTTCACCTGCTCAACACACGTTACGTGGACAACCGCTTTATCCTGCTCAACGAACAATACAGATCAGCACTCCCCATCACCACACTGGCCCACCCCGATTTTTATGAACACCCAGTCGAAATAGAGCCAGTGGACGACGACCATCTCCTTGGGTTCCTGATCGATCCCCTCAACAGAACCGTCACCTTTGTACTCCCCACACATCCCTGGCAGATTCGTGATCCGCAGTCAGCGGGGAGTCACAGACTACGCCTTTCAGGCTTACAGTCACGCCACCACACCCTACGAAAATACACATACCCACAGCACCTCGCACCTGCCACAGCACAGCAGTTGATGCAGCTCTATGTGACCAAAGGTCATTCAAAAGAACACTGCGCCGCGGCGCTGCGGCCACGAGGAAAAAGATCATGCGCCGGCAGAATTGCAGTCCTTCACTTCACTTTATCTTCATGATTTATAATCTACAAGTTCCTTTTCGACGTCCTGCCCTACCACTATTTCTTACACAGGTATTTTCTGATCCGGTCTAGTTGCGCCGATTCGGCTCTTTGTGTGTGCCCTCTCCTGTTTCCAAGGACACTACCCTAACTCTTTCTAACCTACCCTATGATTTTCCTGACCACTGTACAGCAGCAGGGGGGCAACGGCCAGTCTTACGTTGCCCAACGAAGCTACAGAAGACTGGTGGAAGCATTCAGGGACGCCTGAATGTGTACCTGCTCTCAATTGTTTAAACCATGATTTGTTACAACAATTCTGTTCGTCCGACTTTGCACCTTTTTTCAGTCAAGGTCTAATCTGCAGTAACTCTAAAGGGCTAATGCACACCGCGAAGCAGCCTGAAATCGCGCTCCACGGAGCAACCTTCTCAAGTGTGTGTGTGTGGGTGTGTGTGTCCCCCTTGGAATCATAGGGATCCTCTTTGGATTGGAAACAGAACGTTTTTCCTTAATTTGCAGCAGCGGAGCGGTGGGCATTCTTGAAGTCACCGCTCAACGAAGACACTTCAAGTTTGCTGTGATACGCAGGCTGGACGCAGATTGCACGTACCTGCGAGAAGATGATCACCATTCATTTCCTTTTGGTCCCTGCTTCTATTGCTTTTGGCTTGGGTTTTGCAGCAACCTCACCTGTCATGCAGTCGCCGCTTTGAGCTTTGAGAACTTAAACTTTGGAAGTTGTTGAGAAGCCTTACTTACACTCACCCTGGTTTCTTAGGTTTTTCACTTAGGCTGGCTTGTGGCAAACCGCAACCGAATCAGTACGCATGTCAATAAGTGTGTGTGCGCACCACATGTGGCCAACCGGTGGAAACCTACATTGGCAGAACTGCACTTCCACTTCCCAAGCATCCTGGCTGTGCTGTGAGCTTGTCAAGGTTGGTGCTTGGCAGTGCTCTTGCCGCTGTGCCAACAGGGGCTGTACCGGTTCAATGGTCTCTGTGGGATGATGCTGCACTCTGCGAAAGGTTGATTTCTTGTTGCTGAGATTGATTTGCGGCACATGGTGGATGACTTGAGAGGTAACAAGATGGCCGAGGCGTGTGCACGTCGATGCGATCAGTCAAGGCCCCCTGGCGTATTGTGTTAGCTAGCCACAGTTACAGAAGAGCAACTTCGCTTGAGTCAAGAAGTCAGATCACAGAAAGGCTTCCTCTTGGTCACAATGCCATATCATTCCATCCACCCACATCCTATCCATCAATCCATGCATCATCATTACCAACAATGAATTGCATCATCAGCATCACGCACTCTCCCCAAGGTGCCACCAAAACAGGCTAATTTGCAAACTGTTTGCATTACGTATTCCACCTTTTTTTTTTTGTCGTCGCTTCACCTATGTAGAACCTACGTGCACTCCAGCGTTTTGCCCACAGCAAGTCAAAACGCACCTCCGAACCCCAAAGGTCTGTATGTGATCGCATGTCCACCCTCCATATGTGATGTTCAAGCTTGCCTCAGAAGCTCAGCACGCTCTGCAGAGACCAGGCCACAGGCCCTTGCAATTTGCACTGTGTTGTTATCTAGGGCGCCTGGCAATGCGGCAAATTCCAGAGATGAATTATCGTGCACCAACCCAGGTCAATGCACGACCTGGTCACTTCAATTCCAGCCTTCACTTGTAAGACGTTCCACTCCATGCATCCAAAGATCTGCCTGGGCCTTTGGGCGCTTGCAAGTACTCCGAATTCTCCACTCCAACCCATATTTTATATACTAGCGATGGCCTCCAACCTACTCTTAAAGCCCCTCCCGTATTTCAGACTTGGGTTTCTTCCTACGTGTGGCCAGCTTCCTCTTTCATGTCTTTCATCTTCCACGACCCGCGCACAGTACAGGCCTGTTGCAACTGGACACTTAGACTGTGGCAAGCATGGATCTCCTCCATTTTGCATCTAATCGCATCAGAATATATCTTCCTTCTTTCTTCACCTCACATGGTGACAAATCTAGATTTACACCAATGTATGTGATATGAACCGTTTTCTTTAGGAGTTCACTCGTCGATGCCAATCAGGTTGCACCTGGTTCTTCGGGAACAGTTGCCCAAAGAGCTCCACGGCCACCAACGCTTCGAAGCGCCTCTTTGCTGCACGAGACAAATAATCCACACCTGCAGACCCACGTCAAATGTGGTACCGGCATATGGCTGCATCAAATGAATCTGGCCGCTGGTGTTGGGGAGTGAGAAACAATTCTAAACGACACTGGTGTTCAACGCAATGTTCTTTGTACACCTTGCGTTATCTGCATTTGTCTTGCCAGGGCAAGAGTGAACACGAGGAAAACGACAACGAATACATATACACAACGAAACAAAACAATGCCTAGCAGTGCCTGGACGACACCACGACACGAAGTGGAAGGAACAATTGCAGAAGTGTCCGTGATCTGTTCCGGAAGGAAGCTTTGAGGATTTCCAATGTTCATTGCAGCAAAGACCTGCCCTTGCCAGTTCGGGAGCCTCCCCACATTTGCAGGCTATGTTCAAAGAGTTTTATGATCTGACTTGGTTTGTTGTCAAACATGACGACTGTGTTGTGCAGACGAGAAGAGGCAGTAGGCCTGGCGATGCCTTGGCTGATATTTGCTTCAGTTATGCGCTCACCAGAATCCTTAAGGGACCTCTAGCCAAGCTGACACAACTCTTTCCGGACATTCAGCTGCAGTGGAATGGACAAAATGATCCTTTGCCAAATGACAATGGGCATGTGTCTCTGCCGCTGGCACCTATATGGGCTGATGACATTGCGGTAGCTTTTGATGATTCCAGGCCAGCGGGGCTTGTGCAGAAGGCCAAGACGATTACTTCAGTGATTCTGGACGCGCTTACGAGTGCGGGGCTCAAACCCAATCTCAAAAGTGGTAAAACCGAACTTCTTTTGGACTTGAGAGGTCAGGGTTCACAGGAAAGCAGGCGGCAGATTGGCTTTCCTACATGTCCAAAATACAGGTCGACACAAATATGTCATGTGTGTCAAATCAAAACCGAAGTGAAAATGGAAGCATGCGCAAGCACTGGGTTGATCCGCGTGCAGCCCACCAGTTCCCCTTATTCCGCTAGGTTAAACATAAAATGTTCCTTCTGAAACGATTCCTTGCGAATTGGTTTTGCTGACGCATCCCTGCAATTCAATGCTAGCAGCCAACTGCGAGGGAAAGGAAGAAGACAGGTACAACATAAAACGAACAAGAAAACAAACGAATTGCCCCACAAGCAACAGTTGTCCAAACATTTTGTGCCTCCCAATTGCCGGCTTGGAGTTGTACATCAAAGTGAGTTCCAACTCGATGGGGAGCGGGTCAGCCTGGCAGGACTGTGGTAGTTTTGCGCAATCCAGAAGACTCTTGGCTGAATACGCCCAGACTAAGATTTGAACGAAAAACATTCTGCAGGAGAAAATTTGGCACAGAATTCAGACCGCAGGTGAGGGTACAGCAAATCACACCAACCAGAAAGCTTCGCTGACACGGCTCAGGCCTCTGCTGGATTGCAGGACTTGGCAGTGCTCACCAGCTGTTCGTAACAAAGTGATAAAGGCATTTCGCAAGAGCCCAGAAAGGTGTTGGATAAGAACAGGTTGTGCTTGTAAACGCTGAAGGTCAAAATGTCACAGCCTAACAAACGCTGCTAGGGTGGAGGCTCAAAATAGCACGCCAGCCCCTCTGTGTCCCAGTGCTTCGATGCCGTGACATTCAATATGAAAAAAACTGATTGATCGTAGGGCAAACCGCCCCGAGCCTTCCCAAAGAATATCTACTTCGTAGCGGATGTTGAAAAAGCACCGCTGGTGTCCTTCAGTTCCTTCCACTATTGGCTTGATAGCTGGAGTGAGCAAGCACCTGTGGCCAGTCTTCCCATTCTTCTGGATTGAGATGGCCTCGTCAAATGAAGCCAGAAAGTCTGGCCAAGAAAAGCTCAAAACAAACAGAAAAGAGAACGAGCTTCTGTAAAAGCACGGCTCGAATAAGCATTTATGAACAAGAATACGTGGGACCGTGAAAGGAAGCTACCTAGTAGCGCTTTAAGTGTTTTTCCGCGTACTGTCTCGGTCTCCTTCTCTGTGTTAGGATGTAGAATGAAGGCTATGTTAAAAAAAAACAACTAAGAAGCAAAGGAAAAAGAAACAGAAAACCATAAAGGCATGAAAATAGAATAACATAGGTAAGGGGTCCTTCTAAATGAGGGACACTTATTTTTGTCTGCCCATGCGCCCACACGATCTGCTGGCCAACCATGGGGCTTTCGCGACCACGGTCTTTCATCTTAAGGACCCAAGAATAAGACCAATTAAACGTCTGAGATGGCCTCCCACCTAGAAGCGTTGGCCGTTATCTGTTACTGTACTTTATCTCTACCGCAAGAGACCTGACGCTCATGACTTGTCTAAGACTCCAGTCTGCAGTCTACTTACTTCTCTAACTCTCTCATTTTCTGTCCAAGCAGCAAAATGCAAACCCCGAGTATCTTTCAGCGCAGCACCATCAAAAGCCATGGAGTCAACCTGAAAGAAGAGTAGCCGAGTAGCCAGTTGGAAGGTTGAAAAAAACGGCCCAAACTAGACCATAGCAATTGAATGTGTTTGGTGAAGGCAATGTGCTGTGTTGTTGGTTGAAGCTGTGTTTGCAACATATGCTATGTGCCATTTAAAAAGGTGTCACTGTAATCGCATGAGGCACTTTGATGTTGAAGACATAGACTTGGGTCTCCTCCAACCTTCGGGTCTCCTCACATGCCTCATCTCGAGCACACGCAAAAAAAATGACAACGCAAAAACATTGTCTCTTTTTCCGTTGATCTTTCGTATGACAACTTGCAACCAAACTCGACAGCCACAACTCAAGGGCTTAGTACAGCAGGCCACCTTCAGTACGATCCTCTCCACTGCTGCTGCTTGGGATGTGCGCGACATCAACCACTTCCGGCACAGAAGAAAGCTCGTGGCTAACCCCGACCCCAACGGACAGAAGTGTATTTGATGACTTTTGTGGTGCCAGGGTCACACAAATATCTGGTGGAGATGCAAACAGGCATGCGTCCTTTTGAAAAAGGCACCTTTGAAACTGTTACAACTTGCTTTCAATCTGCGAAATGGCAAGCAGCGGCGTTGACACCATGCAATCTATGTCTGCTCTTCACATGGTAACGGCCCGCTGTGGGCGTGCAACTGCGTTTTTGTTCCTTCGAGGCTGTTCAAACCTCCAATTCGGTTCTCCAATCTTTGATTCGGTCCTTGGTTTGGGCATGAAAAGCCGACCCCCGTCATTCAAACCGTTCTCTTATCCAGCTACTGCTGGTGTGCACGTCTTTCAGAATCCTCTTGGCACCCTGCTAAGACTTGCCAGTGCTCAGGGATGCTGAGGAGGTTGTTGGCACAAATATGACCGCTCATGACCACAGCTGGCACACCAATACCTTAAATTCAGCAAAGGCCTAGGGCCAGGCGTAAAGCATCATAAAGCCAATAATTACTTCTTTTAAGACGGGCACCAGGCGCAGTGCTGTCTCCACACATGTGAAAACCTGGCGGACAAATCGTCAACGGCGTCAACCCGAAGCCAACAAGCAACGGGTTTAATATTCCACATGATTTCACTCAAGATAGACGTTACGATTTGACTAACGCGACAACATGCAACAATGCAATGTGTGGAAAGCAGCCAGGGAATCGAAGGAAACGCCCACGCATGTGTGCATATATAGCGATGCGAGTATATTCACACATTCAGAGATACCTCAAATAGAGGAGCTAGAGACTGATGGGCTGGTCATCTCCACTGGCAAAACCAGATTCGTTGTCTCAAATGCTGAAGCAAAACGTTTGTTGAAGGAAGCATTGCCGGTCGACGGGCCTCAGGTGCATGATGTCATGAGAGATTCGGGTTGTGACTGCACCAGTGGGAGACTCCGGAGGATCATGACTATGAAGTCGAGACGAACCAAAGGTGGGCAAAAGCAAGAAACTCTCGACTTTGAATAGTAGTAACAGGTGCATCGCTAGTAGTAACAGGTGCCTTACTAGTAGTAACAAGAAGCTAGTAGTTTTGAAGATTCCGTGGAAAGCAGTTCGGCTCCGACTCTTCAAAGGCAGCATCCTGGCTGGCATTCGATGGGGTCATGAAGCAATGGGTGTAGCGCCGCAAACGCGAGCCAGATATAGGGCAGCCATGGCAAGACACCTTGGCATGCAGAAGACGGGCAACATTGACCTTGTTATTGATTTGCAACCAAACCTGCAGAAGTCATGGCAAGTGCATACCCAACTTTTGGACTCTGTCAAGCACCCCTGGCAGCATGCCAAGGGTCCGATAGCAGCTCTGCAGTGTTATTTGAGGGAGCATGGTTGGACTCATGAGAGCTTTGACCAGTGGAGCAAACCTGGCCACAATGGTTTGCCAACATGGGAAATCAACATCACTGACTTGTGGAACAGCATTCACACGCAATTGAAAGAAACGGAGAAATGGGAGCGAGTTCATCGGGTGAACAAACATGCAATGCCGGAAGAAGTGCAATTTCCTCTGGATTGGGTGGCTTGGAAGCGACTCAACAGGCAGCTCAATCAGCGTGATGCTACTGCATTGTTGACTTGGCACCAGGGGGCTTTGTTTCTGAAGCTGAGTGACAGCAAACCTCATGGTTATTTGACCTGCCCGCATTGCCATGCTCCGGCCACGGCAGTGCATGTGTTGTGGCTGTGTGAGGCAATGAAGAAGCACTTCAAGCCCTTGCCAGAGGAGTGGGTGATGGAGCTCACTCATGGGTGAACCTTGAATTCTGGTCGCAGGGTTTGCAATGCAAGCCACAGTACAGCATTGACACTGGAGGCAGTTCTGAAACTTGGGGCTCTTGGACCCAGCATGATGCTCTCCCAGTACAAAAAGAATGCTTGACGATTGGCCTGGCAGTAACGAGTCATGACCCCAGGCTTAAGCATGTGGTTGTGGCAGTGGTTCGTCATGCTCTCCGAAATGGCGAGCTCTTTAGGTTGGGCTGCATCACAGCAGTTACAGCAGTTCTCCCTGGCAGTCAGACTTTCCAGAGAGGTTGGTTCTACGGGTTGAAAATTGCTGGGCATTTTGTTGATTTGGCTGAGGATGTCCGCGTTCATGTCATGTCAACCCTTTGAAGCATGGAACAGGCAGCGCCATGGCAGCACGTTTTGGGACTTAAACAGTCTGGTGACCACAGATGAGAGGGCTAGAATCAGATCGATCTATGTGTCTCAGAAACAGCTGAAGGAAATCCCACTTGGTGGCTGGTCCCTTCGAAGCCGCATGACTGATGCGTGCAAGGTGGCAAAGGAGAGAGCCTATGCCATATGCCATGCAGCCGGTTGACCTTGAAGCTGAGCTGAGGCAGCAAGATGCCAAATACAGGGCTGTTGCTGTCGAAGCCATTTCTCGCATCCAACATGTCTTGGATGACAAAGGGCATTTCACCAGGCAGGCGAGGGAGTCAGCCAACGAACAAAGGGAGTCAACCTGCAGTTGATGGAGGGCACCAATGGACCACCAAAGGGTCTGGGTTGCAGTGCACTGGTTGTCAGTGCAGGGCAAACATGCATGTGAAGTATGAGCAGCTTTTGCAATACCGCACGGAGGCCTGTCCCCTGGCGGGAACCCCTCTTCCGAAAGGGGGAGCAGACACAGAAGGCAGCACTAAGGCAGATGTGCTCCAACAAATGCTGGATGGAAGTCTTCCGGATTCAGGGGGGCATGAGCTTGAGATCAAGAAAAACTATGTCACGTGGAGATGTGGCCAAATGATCTTGAGGCATAGCTCCATCAACAAGCTTTCCATTTTTGCACGTAAAGTCTGCTGGAACGAGGAATGGCATCCTCCCTTGACTTGGCAAGGGCATTTGGCCCACAAGCTTTGGAGGAAAGGAAATAAGGTTGTTTGCACACAGTGCGGAGGGCACTGCGGAGGGCATGCGCTTTGCAGCGAGCAAGGCTAGGCAGCGTCAAAAAGAGCTGCAAACAGCAAGGGGTGCAGTTGGCGCTGCCGGTCCTCTTCCGGCCTAAGCAGCCAGTCGAAACCGACCTCTAGACTCTAGCATGAAGCTGCGGAGAGAAAGAGACGTGTCAAAAAATACACATTCAGAGATTGGAGGCCATTCGCTAAGTACGGAGCCTAAAGCGTTCCTATCTCACCACCTTTCGGATCCTTTCGGCACAATGGCGGACACGTGGCTGGCAGCGTTTGAAAACAGAACTGTCTGGGTTACAGAACTCTCACGGAACTAGTGGCACCGCAAATGCCACATATCAATCAATCATCACCTGGTGGGCCCGTGTCCAGCACCGCTTCATCAGAACGCAGGTCCACCACCGTGCGGGCACACCAAGCCAAGCAGTTCCAAAGCAAAAAGCACGGATGCCGAAGCATTTTTCACAGCATTTGTCGTGCTATCACCAACAGCTCACTAACCCACCGGTGCGCAGCAACAGCTTTGGAATAACGATTGAAAGTAGTAACAAGAAAAGAAGCTAGTAGTAACAAGTGCATCGCTAGTAGTAACAGGTGCCTTACTAGTCGTAACAAGAAGCTACTAGTAACAAGGCACCTGTTACCGAAGTAGTTCTGACATCCCGTCTCCACACCCACTCTGGCGCTTTCCAACAATGATGCACAGAACAAACGCTCGATTTTTCCGGAAACAGTTCCCGCATGAGCGCAATGGTGTTTTGAAATTTTGTGGGCCCTGTGCCGTCATACCAAAAGCTACAGCAAGCTATAGTTTCTGCACCTGTGGTGTCAGAACGCATAGTGGTCCTTGCGCTTGCACACGGTCCGGAACAATACAAAGGCCTGCTATGGTCTGATCTTGCCCACTTGCTCCTAGTAGCGTCCTTGCTCCTAGTAGTAAGGCCAGGAGCACCTAGTAGTGTCCTTGCTCCTAGTCGTTTGCCAAACTACATGGGTTAATTGTCGAAGTTCGCGGCGCTTCAAACGCAAAGGATGAAGGTCCATTTTCCACACGCTCTTGCATATTTAAACGACGGGGGCAGCAGCGGGCTTCTGTAAACATTCAACCGGCACCCTGACAGCTCTGGACAATTTGGCCAAAGAATGAAGGTTGAGCGCTGAGTCATTAGCATCCCCAATAGGGATGCAGTCGTTTGCAAAGCACCTGCTAGCAAAACCCAAAATTTGCATTGTGGGCATGGCTGTCTTTGTTATGCAGCTGTAGCAGGGTTTGCCATTCAGAATGGTCTTGGAGTCGGGCAACAAATGTGTTTTTTGTCGCGTTTGTCACGCGTTTGCACAGCCCAACGTCATCAGTCAATGTGGTCTATTTAGTCTAATGTCGCCTCATCGCTGATCATCACACATTTGACGACAGGTGTGTTGTGACAAATTACATTGATGACAGAATTTGCTTTCTTTCCGACTCTCTGGCAAATTGCCAATAACCTTTAACTTTCCAAAGTCTCCCTTTTTCACAATTTACTTCACGACAGTGAGTCACAATGACAATTTTGTTGCCAGCCATGTTGAACTAGGAGGTTCGACGTTATCTGTGTATGTTGCCTTTTTTTGTGGTGCAAACAAATTTACTGAAGCATTGCCCGTGCATCAATAGAATAAAGGTTATGCAACATCCTAACATGCATGATTGAACCCCAGCGTAGTCAAAGACCTTCTGGTCTATAATCCCTATGACCCAACTCGTGAAAGCAGTGACTAGACCTCAATCTAACAAGTAACCAGACCTCATGCCTCAAGAAAACGAGTTTTATGCTTTCTGTAGTTCTTTACGTCTATTCACCTACCAATCTATCTCTATGCTGTATCAACACACCTGTAATTATGGACCTGTATCTGCACATTTGTACAAATGTCTTTTAAACACCTTATGTACCCTCATCACGATGACGAGGGGGTGAACGAAAGCTAGCCGGGCGGGGAGGCGTGCGCATGCTAGGGTGTGGCTGCGCAGACCACCAAGCAGCAGCAGCAGCAGCAGCAGACCACCCGCTCACCGCGCGCAGGGGGGAGTTGAACCTCCGGAGCGGGGGTCCATAAGATTGATTTAATGAATCAACTTGTTCGGGTTTTTGAGGCGCCGTCCGCCCGGTCATTTTACTTGCTAAAGCAAGAGCAACGTCAGCTAGTTTTGGAATACACCTCTACCTCTGCTCTTTGATGATGCTGGTGATGCCTTTGAACATTGAAATGTCAATGTTGCATGATCCTGATGATGATCGAATATAACAATAATCAACAATGACTATGATTTGACAGCAATTCTGTAGAACTTTTCACAGGAACTTTCGGAAAAAAACACGTTTCAACATGATTTCAGCCTTCCAAGGGCGTCTTGTGCCCTGGGAGCATCTCTGGCGCTGTGACGCGAAGTCCTGCGACTTGCGCACAAGAAGCAAACGCGAAAACGTGCAGGAAGCTTCCTATGAAGAGCATAAGCTTTAATACGGACATCGATATTAGGTTGGAGGCCATCACTACCTAATGGAAGAGCATAAACTTCAATACTAGAGTAGATGCCCTAGTTAAAATGCTGCCATGGGATCTCACAACTAGCGCTGCTTTCAGGTTGAAACTGTCTATCCTCCCGCTCTGACACAAACAACAGTGCATTCCACAACAACACCTTCCGGGGTGACACATTGCCTTGCGTTGAGAACGCAAGGATTGACTTAAAGGAAAACAAATGACTTTCATCACTTTAGGTCTCTCTTACATGAGGACAACAGGGACATCAAAGAATCAAACTTGAGATAGAGAACCCACACACAAACCAACCAGAGACAAGTGAGCTGAGATGGCAAGCAGGCGATAGGATGAGGTTTCGCGCTGAAACGTGTGGTGTCCATGGTTCGAGCGTCTGGAGGTTTACATGACACCACGCCAACCAGGTTTACTAGTAGTAACAAGTTACGAATTTAATTAGAATTCTAATAGCTTCTTGTTACTACTAGTAAGGCACTTGTTACTACTAGCGAGGCACTTGTAATTACTAGCAAAGGAATATTTACATGACACCATGTGCATGGCTGCATGGGCACCACATATATGAGATTGTGTGACCGCCTTCTCTGACATCAGTTTGAGCGCATGCGTGGAAGTGTCTTATGTCACATGCACGGTTCAACTTGCAGCTGTATCAGTCAACGCGTTAGTGTACAACTGACTTCAGCTTAAGTCACTTGTATCATCTTTGATCTTGGCTGTTGCGACAGCAGCTCAAAGAGTGCTGGGTTTGCCTCCTATAGATCAAGCACCACTCAGCCTTGGAGAAAGAACTAATGGCCTCCAACCTAATAGGAATAGCCTCCAACAAAAGAGCAATGGCACCTCCACACAAATAATGATGGCCTCCTAGCAAGTAAAACCTCCTGCTGGTATTGCCTCCTCAGGAAAGATCAGGCGTCAGGCACTACACGTGATAGGGGGAGAGGGGGATGAAAGGTAGGTGCGACAGGAAGCAACTCCGTACCTCCCAGCGTGCAACTCCAAGGAGGCAAACATTTACTACTAGTAAGGCACTTGTTACTAGAAGCGATGCACTTACTTGTTCCTAGTAGCTTCTTGTTACTACTAGTAAGGCACCTGTTACTACTGATGTGCTTTAGTGAGTCATATTAGCGTTTTCTGAATTCATAAGAGCGATTTGGGAGGGTGTTCATCCCCTGGTGTGGCGGTCGAAAGTGGTGGTGGCTGCGAGCAACACCCTCAAAAACGGAAACACCCATTTCACAAAGCAAAGCTCGATTTGGTGTCACTCGTCGTCAGGGGAACTAATGGAGCAAGCAAAGCATACGACTGCGGGTTGCCTCCTACAGCAGGATCCACCGTCGGCTGTTGTGAAAAAACAAACGCTTCATAAAGACAGATCAGGCGTCACTCGTTAAAAAATTAATCCATGTAGCAAGCGATACCTACTGCTGGGTTTGCCTCCTACACAAGATTAGGCGTCACTCGACCAGAAAGAAGCAAAAAAAACAATTTTTGAATGCCTCCTACCTGCTTCTGGTTAATAGAAAGCTTCAAAGACATACTAGTAGCTTTATTGTTACTACTGGCGATGGCCTCCAACAGAGTTGCCTGGCTCAAAGAAAATCACAATCAACAAGCACGTTTGGGTCCATAAGCTCCGCTGGGCTTCCGTAAAAATCTGCGGTGGGTGAGCGGAGTCCCAACCAGTTCGATGACCACCCTGTCCTGAGAGCACATCAAATCTCGATTGTTTCTACTAGCTTCTTGTTACTACTAGTAAGGCACTTGTTACTACTAGCTTCTTGTTCCTAGTATCACTTTGTGGTTCTGAAAATTTACCAACTTCTTTGAGCCCAGCGTCTTCCAGGTTTGGCACCTGCTTCCCCACAGCTGCGTACAAGAAATCGCGAGCTTCTCGCTTTTTCTTTTTGTATTCCTCACTCTTCCTGAGCACTTTGGAGAACTAACTGTAACTGGCAAGCCTTTGACACAAACCTTTCAACCTCGCTCTCCAGGACTGCAAGGCCCGTCGATTGAGTAAAAGACTTTGCGTTTGTCAACCTAGCAGCGGACATGATGCTGCTCAGGCTTTGGTTCGTGTCTTCAGGGTTCCCTCATGTTCGGGGTAGGGGTTCGGGGGGTATCATGAACATGTGTGCAGATAGAAAGATATATATATATACTGTACTACCTTTTGTATAACTATTATATAGTTATATATCATATTATGACGGAAAAGCTTGATGTAAAATGCGGCAGTCGCGTTTGTTGCTCTTAGGATCTCTTCAAACATCGGACTCCTGAAAAAACCCAATACATATACGTAAGAGGAAATAAGAAGCAACCTCGAAGCGATGGCCTCCAATCTACTTCCATCAGGGCAACTGCATCATTGGTTGGATCAATGATAACTCATACGAGTTGAGGCTGCAACCGCTGTCTGAAAATGACCAAACTTTTGTTTAAATGCCGAAGCTCGGGTCAACGGGTGCCCAGTCTTCCCACGGCTCAGTAGCAGGAGTGTATGCATGGACAACATGATGACCGGGAGGCGCGAGATCAGAATCCAACCTGATCACTAGTAGTAAGAATGCTCCGTTCGTAGCGATGCCAGGAGCCCCTAGTAGCGTCCTTGCTCCTAGTAGTAAGACAAAGAGCCCCCAGTAGCTTCTTGTTCCTGATAGCTTCTTGCTACTCGTAGTAATGGCCTCCAACCTACTAGCGATGGCCTCCAACCTAATAGCTTCCTGCTAGTAGCAGAATAACAAATAACAATGAACTGAATGACACGTTTGTACCAAACAAACCTACGACTGTTGGGAGGTAAAAGCACTTTCTCCGTAATCCAAGAGGCATCGATGGACAGCTCACCAAAACCGCGTTGCGAGGCGCTTCCAAGTCGGACCAGTCGTTGAACACCCCCCATTGTGCAGGAAACTCCGCACAGTGGCTTGGCGGCAGGCCATCCCCCCCGAAAGCCCAAGTGCAAATGAATGAACGACTTCAACAACGGATACTTTGTCCATTGGCTGAAATACTCTTCAAGTTCAGGAGCACCTTTCAACAATTTCTGGGTGACCTGCCAATCCGCATTACCTCGCGAGTGCTACCACGTAACAAGAATCCGCAGTACATGCAATGGCCTCCACCCTAGTAGCTTCTAGCTACTAAGTAGCTTCTTGCTGTTGCAACAAAATTTTGGGACTCAAACTCAGCACCGAACTCACTACTGCCTCACGCGCACGGATTGAACTCCCACCACTCGTACTGTTGTATCGAACTCCCGCAGCTCGACCGCCTTCAACGATCACTTCATCCACATGGGCTTTGAGGATCACCTTGCAGCCTGTGACGAGCTCGGCAATTCATCTCTCGGAAACTCATCTCTGTCTTACAGTCGTAACAATAAAGCTACTAGTATGTCTTTGAAGCTTTCTATTAAGTAGAAGCTACTAGGGTTGGAGGCCATCGCTAGTAGGTTAGGAGCCCATCATCCATGGCTCACATGGTCTAAAATACTTCCAGCTATTGCACTGAACATCGCAAACTCTCGGTGAAAGCCACTATGCCCGCCTGGGTGTTTTTTCAATTCCTCGCACTAAAGCCCCAACTAAAGCTTCGTTGCCACCTTTCGGAAAATCCAAGCACGTATTCTTTTTGTAGAGGTCACCCATCATGTATGCCTCAGGAACCAACAGAAGCGAAGCGAAGAACGCAAGGTCACCCGTCATTTTACTTATTGTTTCTACTAGCAAACATTGTTCCTAGTAGCGATGCCCTTTGCTACGTTCGTAGCGTTCTTGCTAAAGAGTTGTTGGAACACACCCTTATACGCAACCGTCCTATGTTTCACCACACACGGTGTGCCCAACGGGCCGCACGGGGCATCGCGACGAACAAGAAGCTACGTTCGGGGCTCGCTATGCAGTTTTCGCTTCTCTCGTTCCCTTCACGTATTTTCGCGTCAAAGTGCAGTGAGGGAAAAGGATGCAACAGGGTTTCTTGGCCTCGTGGCCTGGCGGATGAGCCTTCTGCGTGCAGACATTTACTTTAGACTTTTGCGTGCATGTGAGGGGGGCACTGTGAAAATAAACAAAGAGATTAGTGACTAGTGAAGAAGGAACAGAAAACAGAAGTAGCAAGGCAGGAGCAGTAACAGTGGCCAAAGCACGTCAGTCTGATAGCCTTGTCAAAACACTTCTGATGAAATGCCACTGTGTAAACAAGGTGAAGCCTCGTACATGTTCAAAGGGTTGGGGGCAACCCACCTCTCCATGCCTGAGAAAGAAAGCATCTATCAAACCGAAAGGTTGCAACACGGCGTTGTCTGAACGAGTTGAGTAATTAGAGGAAATTAGAAACAATAAGCTAGTAGTAACAAGTGCCACGCTACTAGGAACAGGTGCCTTACTAGTAGTAACAAGGTTCGAATAGTTTCATGTAAACGAAAGTTTTCTCGTGGATCCCAAGGCTCCATCATTGATGTTGGCGCCCCATAGCACGGAAGGCCCTGGAGCAAAAACGCAAACATGTCCATCCAGTTCTTGATGAACGGATCGGTAACCTCGCGCGGCAACAAACTGTGGCCTCCACCCTAGAAGCAATGGCCTCCAACCTACTAGCGGTGGCCTCCAACCTAAGCTTTCAACATTTGGCGCTTTACATACTTTACGACCAAGACAACAAATGGGAATCGATGGCAACCTAAACAATCCAAGATGCTCCAGCATCCTCCAAGAACTTGCTGAAAGGCTCCGACAGCTTCTGTGGGCCTCCGGGTATGGCCTTCAATTTGGGCAAGTATCGGGCCAACGTAACGGCGGCCCCAACATCTTCACGCACAAAGGCTGGCGGTGGACCATTGCAAATTGCATCAGCCATGGGCACCTTGTCCAAGCAACCAACGTGACAAAATGATGGCCAAGGGGCATAATCAAAAGGTTGCCAAATCTTGTGCTAGCCAACGTCCACAACTTCTAGCATTAGCCACGGATGTTGGCAAGTTGTTTTTGGGGTAGCCCAGATATGTTAGAGGTTCAAAGAGATTGCTGTTATGTGTGTACATATATCTGGTACATACTCACAGATCAAGAGTCAGCAAGATTCCACAGCAACGTTCAGCGAAAGAACGTTTATATAAGAAAAACATTCAAGATCATTAAAATGTGTATGGATTGCAGTCAACACATGAAAAAATCAAGCCCCCTAAGGCCCAAATTGCGCAATTGTTTGTATACATGGACCATGTGCAAACCCGTGTCATCACTATGAGACAACGCGTTGGATCCAATCCCCCTAGCCAGCCTTCAGAGATTGGGGCCAAATTACGCAAGCCGATTCACTGCCTGAACTCTCTTAAGGGCGCCCGCGATCCAGAAAAAAGAATAGACGAAGCAGAAAGGCACAAAAACACGAACACGAACGAGTATCTAGACCTTCCGGCGATTATATTGCAAAATCTGCAATGATCTGCTTCAGGATGAGGCTCGGTGCTATAAGGGCGACCTTTTTTTTTCGGGAATGTTTTTTCCGACGCGTTTTGGGATTTTTTTTCCGCACTGTTTGTGGTCAGGGGTTGCCACAAAGAGAAAAAGAGAGAGAACTAGCGCAGGAGGCAAGGAACAGAAGAGTAGAAGGAGAAAATGAAAAGGAGGAACAGTATGTCCATGCATATGTAGTGTGTAGTGTATGTAAGTTTGTCTATGTATGTATGTATGTATCAATGTATGTAGGTATGGTAGGCAGGCAGGCAGGTAGGTAGGTATGTATGGATGTATGGGCTTGGTTGTATTCTTGGCTGTCGTGCTGCGCTGTAGCAATATCATCAATAAAAAGAGCGGGAGGGGGTGCGGGGGAGGGCGCAGCGCCCCCCCGCAAAAAACAAAGTGTAGTGACCATCCCGGCACTGACACATTGCTCCTTCCTCCCTTCCTTCCTTCCTCCCTTCCTTCCTTCCTCGCTCTTCCTTCCTTCCTCGCTCTTCCTTCCTTCCTTCCTCGAAGACAACAGAACCTGTAAAAAAATTCCCAAAACACGTTGGAAAACAATTCCCACACAAAATGGGGTTCCTGCTACAAACATAGGAGCGGGACAGCAAGACATGGAAGACCAGCCTAAAAGGAACAGAAACAACAAATGACGGCTCTCCTGATGCAAAGGCTCTGATGCCGACAAAGTAGCCAGAGTCAGCACGCCCTGGAGCGGCGTTAATCACAAGTTCTCGTCTGACACCTTTCATTGTAAACAGGCAACGGCTTGGCCATGACCTTGGTGCCCTGATTCTGCGGCTGCTAGGCCAGTGAGCTGTGTTCAATTTGAAAGAAGTCTTTCAGGTTGATTTGTTGTGTCCCTGCTGCGCAGTAGTTCACAGGCGGGGTTTGTTCGTACGATTGGTCCTGCACATCGATTTGTCCTTTTTTCCTGCTAAGGTTTCAGGTGTTGCGATATTGGAATGTTTTATGTACGTGGTGGCCTCCATAATCCTTAATGGCCAAAGGCTTGCCCCTTCATGTTGGGGGTTTGGCCATGCGCATCAAAAGAGGGAGACCTCCCAAAGAGGGCACCAACGGAAAAAGACTTGAGAGTCCCCCTATTGAGATGCACACCCATGTACATGTGCTAGTGGCTTGAATAGATCCAGGAAATCAATGAACGTGATTTTGCAAATTGCAGGTTCAGGCTCAGGGTCCAATCTTTACAGTCTATGTTTGCAGGCGGCTTGACCAGCAACTTTTTGTCCAAGCCCCTGGCCCTTGCGAAAGACGTAAAGATTGTTTAGAAACAATCCTAGGACCAAAGAGGTTCAAACAACACAGCTGTGCACGGTGAAACGCGATATGCAGTTCGCTACTAGGGTGGAGGCTTGGGAACAAGAAGCTACCAGTTGGAAAGGGCCTTTCTACTAGGAGCAGGGAGGCTACTAGTAGCTCCTGGCATTACTACTGGGAACAAAAAGCTACTAGTAAAAGTTGAACACCTATTTTAGGACAGTTTTTGATTCTTCCACCTTATCTGGTGGGGTGGCATTGTGTCCTACATACATAAAACCCTATTTCAGCACATAGGCATAGGCTTTGGAACTTGGACATGAAGGCGATGAAGGAATGACGCTGCATACTTTAGAGGAAAGCTCCCAGGGTCTTCCCTAGCCGGCCCAACAAATCAACATTGATTGTATAAGGAGTTGAACCGATTTGAACCCCTCAAAAAAGTATATAATCCCATTGGTCGCCCGTGCCTCTTTGGCACGCAGGCCATGCTGTGGCATTTCAGCTGAGGTGCAATGTTTTGCATCAGCCGCTGCCATTGCTCTTGAGCATTTGGCCCACCAAATCGAGGTAGCAACTTTGTCACGAACTCCTCATAACCAATGGCTGCATTTGCTTCACCCTCAGGGATGAAGGCGTTCCACCTGGATAAACAATCGCTCGGTCTGAAGCCTCTGCAAAATACGGTCTGAAATCTAAATATTGCAAAACGTATCTTTTATATGATGATGTAGATTTTTTGCATAGTCCTGGCCTGTCATATTGGATCCACTTGGGCTCTTCGCCCAGAATCTGATAGACGTGTTTCAGTGGAGATGATGTTCGTTCACCACTCAGTCCCCCATAGAGCGAAGGCCCCGAATCAAAGCAAAAGTCTCCTTCAATGCCCTTTGCTCTTGCTCGGAAGGTGTGAGCAGCACCACCAGGAACATAATGACTTTCCAAGACACAAACCTAAGCGAACTTCAGATTGAACATAATAACTACTACAGATGTATCAACAAATATTCAAACAAGTCCCACTTGCAAGAAAAAAACCTGTGCTAGGTGCCCTGACCCGTTTACCTGCAGCTGCAAGGACACCAGCACAAGTGAGGCCAGCTAGTCCACTACCAATGACTACCACATCGTACTCAGACTCCACAGCCGGCTTGGCCCTCATTCCAACGACTCCCCTGTTTCTGCCTCAGAATTCACTTATAAAAGATACAGAATCCGTTTATCTAAAAGCAAGAAGCTACTAGTAGCAAGGGCGCTACTAGTAGCTAAGTGCCATACTAGTAGCTGTTTGCTACTAGTGGCGATGCACTCGTTCCGCCAAAAACACCCCTGTGCCGGAAAGGCGCGAGACCGAAGGCGCTTCAACCCGAGAGGGTAAGAAGCGGAGAGAAGGCCGCCGGCCACGCGATGCCACGCGCCCCAACGAAAGGAGCGACGCGACGGACCCCAGAACCGCATAGACTGCGATTCACGCCTCTCAAGCCAGCTCCGCCCGCTAAGGACGCATGACATGGCGGATGGGACTGCCATGATGGCAAACTGGAAGACTGTGATGCAGGATGCGTGTGTGCTTTTTTGGTGGCAAGTGTCCTAGATAAACATAAAATATGTCAATGTTCTTGAAAAAGCAGGCTCAAGAAATGCTTGGCGAGCGGAAATTACGTAGCAATATCAAAGCACTTGGAAGCAAAGCAAAACTCTACCTCAATCATGCTTAACAACCAAAAACAGCATCCGCCTGCAATGGGTGGGTTGCAGTCACCTTGCGCAACTCTGTATCTCTTCTGGCACAACTCTGACAATGGTGCACCGATTTGACCGGTTGATGCCCATGCCCAGCCTCGTCTACCCTAGCCGTGAAACGCAGAACTTGCTGCTCTCTCCCACCGGCGGCCTCTGGGCTTTGTCGGAATGTTCTGCTGACTCTGCGAATTGAATGGATGCAGGACGCATCGTCAATGCTGGCCGGCCTTGCAATCTGGAACCAGAATTTCACTTCATTCCTGACAAGCAGGCCCAAACACAAGGCAGAGTCCACTTCGATCCAAATGCATCCAAATGCATCGGTCTACAAACACTGCTGGCGCCGCTGTCCGTTGTTCTTTGTGCGACTAACTAGCACCCTTGTCATTCAGCCCTTCGGGCTGAAAAGGCTTGTTGTGCCCTTGCCACTTTGCTTTTCTTGCCTCTTTGTCTCTACTAGCGATGGCCTCCAACCTAAAATAGCAAACTATATCCTTGCCGTTCGGCACGCCAAAGCAATGTGAGGCTTTGCAGGCTTTGCACCTTGCCATCGGGCCAATTAGCACTTTTGCAGTCGGGCCCAGTCAAGCATCATCGAGCGACATGAATGCCCACCCTGCAAAAAGGACACAAAAACATGCACTGTGAATTCACCTGCTGGTTTTCCAGCGAAGATTGGGAAGTTGGCTTGATCTGTCCTCTTTGAGGACTTCCTTCCCTTCGACAAGCCCCACCTACTGTGCCATCCTTCAATAAATCCATCCAATTACTCTGTTCTTCTTTGTCCATCTTGTCTTTTGTCCAATTCCGAGGATTCCCTCGATGTCTGTCTTCTTCTCCACTTTCCACTTCGTCCACTTCAAGCGCTCGGAGCCCTTTGAGCTCTGCCCTCGCCGCTTCTGAGAGCTCCAAGCGCCGATTGGCCCTGTTGCTGCGGCGCACGTCCCAAAGCCGCCCGCGGGCGGTCTCAGCTGTGATCAGCTGATGGAGGTTCGGCACGGCCTCCATCACCTCTGAGGATCCAGCAGCAAAAGGGCCTGCGTTCAGGATTTAGGGTCCAAAATCTTACATCTTTGACAATCTCATAATTGCACAAAATTGCATCAGGATGCACATAAAACATGTACATATCTCGATAGAACGGGCTTGGAATCACAGTCTAAGCAAACGTTAATGAAATGTGAACTGAATTCACAGTGAACAATATTGCATTCAGTCCTGCAACCTCTTCCCATGTCCAAGCAAGTCTTCAAGCAGCCGCATTCATTCAACAGCAATGCATTGCAAAAAGGTGTTTTTCCCCAAAAATCTAGGCGCCTACTTAGACAAGTAATAAAGAAAGGGCGGGCCAAAAAAGAAAACACTTATATTAAAATCTATTTAAAAAAACACAGCGCAACAACCGACCAATCCCAACCAGCAAGCCGCTTGACAGCTACGTCCGGCCTCTTTTCAGCAACGCCCCTTTCAAAACAACTTAGCAAAAAGTTGATAGAATTGTGGAAAGAAAAATCCTCAGTGTTCTCCAAATCTAAATGCTATAGTCTTAAGTTACGACTCAATTATTTGAACTTCTGAATTTTCCCATCACACAATTGAACCCTTGTTTCCTAGTTTTCTCTCGTGCTTGTCTTCTTTCCTCTTGCCTTCACAAATTGAAACCACTGCGAGCTAGTTTAAAGCTGCCAACGAGATACCACGAGTCCCAGCACTAAGCAGCAATGGCCCTGGCCTCCAATCTAAGAGCGATGGCCTCCAACCGAACGATATGTTTTTTGTATTTTGTGTTTCTCCAGTGTCGAAGTCTACAAAGGCCTCAAGGTCTTCCTGCGCTGATGCCATGCGTTCTTAGGAAAACCTTCTCACGCGGCGTCTCTTCAAACCAGCCCAGTAAAACGGCGAGAAAGACACTTTAAACTTCAAATTCCTTATCCTTCTTCAATATGTGTTTTCAAATGTTTTCTTCAATTCTTCCTTTGCCCAAGCTGTCTACTACGAAACTTCATCTTCCCACACGCTCAATTTGGTCCAATCGTTCCGCCCAAAAGGCGCATTGATTGGTCTTGCCACGACATTCCTTATCCTTCCGATGGGCTTTCCGTGTTTCCTGTTAAACCCTTTCCAGCGCCACATTGCGGGACATTGACTGGAAATAGGGACACAACCGGATGTAACAATCCTATTCCATAGAAACCTTGAAAAAAAGATTCAAAGCCTTTGGGAACGAGCTTGTGCACCCATTCCGGCATGACTGTTATCAAACATGCACAAGCAACAAACTCAGGTCAAGAATGCATCTATGCTTGAAAAAAAGGTCCAACACGGCCTGGAGGCAAAGGAAATGGAAAAAAGGTCGTTTCAAGTCGTCGGGTGCCACCAAGATCTTCCTCCAACTGGTTCAAGGCAAAATCCTGGACAAGCTCCGAGACGTCTACGAATCGCATCTTCTGACGCTGCTTCTCCGTCATCGCTGCTTGAACAACACTGGTCAAAGCGCGGACAATGAATGGCATGTTGCACACGTAGAAACAGAACACCCGTCCAGCATCCTGCTTGGTCAAAACTTCTTTGAGCTCCATCAGTGCAGATACTGTAGGCATTTGGCTATATGAAATGTCTTTCAAATCGACGATGACGACGATATTTTCGACCCTTCCGGGAAGCACCATGTAGCGAAGGAAGTATTCCATGCAGAACACGAAGAGGCGCCCGAACTGTTCGGCCGGAATCCCAAAAGGCACCCGACTGGCTCGCATCACCAAGGCAGGCCGCAAGGCCGCATCTCGGCCACAGAAGTAGATGAAACCTTTCGACAGATCGTCCAGGACGGAGGAGTCCGAAATGGGCGAAGAGAAATAGGAGAGGCGCCAGGCTTGCGTCTCGTTCATGCGCTGTAGAGCTTCTTGAACATCACCTGTGTCGCCCAAGTAGCGGACGGCAGCGACGCTGAGGGAGGGGACAAAGGCCCTTTTCTGAAGTGCTGCCTCCTCTTGAAGTTTCTGCAACATAGACAGCTCATCCTTTGAGAGCTCTGTGTTGCATGAGATCATTCTCTCAGACTCACCATTTTCAAAGCTACAAACTACCATGCCCGGTTCTGGCACGTAGCTAAAGCATTCCTGGGGCAAAGAGAACGGGGCAAGGTTGCACTCATTTACCTCAATCGTGATTGGCTCAGACAAAGGCCGAAAGCCATTCACCTCGCTGTCGTTTACGATGTTCACAGGCCGATTTTCTAAGCAGAAACTCGAATCCAGTTTCTCGTCTCTTTGAGAATCCCATTTCTCTTTTTTGTCCTCTTTGAGCAATGCATCCTTCAGTGGTGCTGCGCCGATGACCTTTGAAAAGCCACTACAACAAGCATCTGTCCATGTGCACTTGCCCGGTATGCAACGCATCAATGACATTGCTTCCAAGATGGACTTGAGCCTCAACTGCAGTATCTTGCAGTATACTTGAAGTATTGCGACGATCGAATTCCACCCACCTTGGTAATTCTTGACCGAAGAACTCACGCGCGCACTTATTCGATAAATCTCCAGACCGAGCCGGAAAAGTGCAAAAAGGTCTATAGTTTAATTCTAATTCTGATTTAATTCTTGTTTCTAATAGCTTCTTGTTAGTAGTAGTAAAGCCCTTCTTCCTAGTAGCGATGCCCTTTGTTCCTAGTAGCGCCCTTGCTCAATTACGACACAAGAACAGTGAAGATCTCAAAATATCTGGCAAAGCTAGTAATTACAAGTGCCTCGCTAGTAGTAACAAGTGCCTTACTAGTAGCAAGAAGCTATTAGAATTCTAATTAAATTCGTAACTTGTTACTACTAGTAAGGCACTTGTTACTACTAGCGAGGCACTTGTTACTAGTAAGGAAATGTGGTCGGCTCCTCGTTTCTCCGCACTCATGATCCCCCGAAGCCAGACACTGCTCGAGCCAAAGCGACAGGAGTGGAAACGTGAATCGAAAGACTGCGAAAGCGATTTCACCAAGGACGCTACTAGGGGCTCCTGGCATCGCTACTAGGAGCAAGGGCCTTACTACTAGTAACAAGAAGCTAGTAGAAACAAAAATTGGTAATTCAATTAGTAATCAAAAGTCCTAGACTTTTAGACCTACCATTGTTCTGTGGAAACCAAGTCGTGGAGTGTCTCTGGCATCGGTGAAGATTCAAACCCAAACATGACAAAGGTGCCACTGAGTGTGACTGCATGGGCCACCAAAACCTTGGGCTTTTGACTCAAACACCGACAAAGAACAGAAAATGAATCGTCAGAATCATTTTTTAGGTTGGAGGCGGTTATTGTTATTTCGCTTTTTACTTCCTTTATTATCCTTCAAGGTTTTCTGTTAAATAGTGCGAAAGGGCTGAGTCACCAACACCCGTGCTCGAAGGAGTCACCTATCACACACTCAACTCACGTTCGGTGTCGGTGTGTTTCCACAGTATTCCATGACTACTAGCGTCCTTGCTACTAGTTACTACTAGTAAGGCACCTGTTACTACTAGCGTGGCACTTGTTACTACTAGCTTCTTGTTACTACTAGTAAGGCACCTGTTCCTAGTAGCGTGGCACTTGTTTCTACTAGCTTCTTGTTACTACTAGTAAGGCACCTGTTCCTAGTAGCGTGGCACTTGTTTCTACTAGCTTCTTGTTACTACTAGTAAGGCACCTGTTCCTAGTAGCGTGGCACTTGTTTCTACTAGCTTATTGTTACTACTAGTAAGGCACCTGTTCCTAGTAGCGTGGCACTTGTTTCTACTAGCTTCTTGTTACTACTAGTAAGGCACCTGTTCCTATTAGCGTGGCACTTGTTTCTACTAGCTTCTTGTTACTACTAGTAAGGCACCTGTTCCTAGTAGCGTGGCACTTGTTTCTACTAGCTTCTTGTTACTACTAGTAAGGCACCTGTTCCTAGCAGCGTGGCACTTGTTTCTACTAGCTTCTTGTTACTACTAGTAAGGCACTTGTTACTACTAGCGTGGCACTTGTTTCTACTAGCGTCCTTGCTCCTACTAGTAAGGCACTTGTTACTAGTAGCGATGCACTTGTTTCTACTAGCGTCCTTGCTCCCAGTAGCGATGCCCTTTGTTACTAGTAGCTTCTTGTTACTAGTAATGCCAGGAGCTACTAGTAGCTATGGTAATTCTATGCGGGGTTCATAGTCATAGTGCCCACTCGCCTGCTTCATCGTTCTGAAACTCTAGAGTCTGTTTGATAGATCCTCCGGTACCATGAAGGCTCACACCACAGCGAAGCACGTGTGATTTTCTCGATGCACTGCATGTCCAAGTGTCAGTTTCGCTGATGTTTACTGGGCCGAGAAGCGATGGCCTCCAACCTACTTTAACCTAGAAACTTGGAATGCTAGCAAAAGCTAGCACACTAGCGCAACTGATAGCCCCAAAGAGAAATGGCCGGGGACCAGCTTCTCAACTACTGTCAAGCTAAACAGTTGGTAGCAAACCACTACGTCCACTTCCACTCCGACCGCACCTTCACTCAACTACGGCTCCATTGAGCCCCTAGTAGCTTCTTGTTAGTAGTAGTAAGGCCAGGAGCCCCTAGTAGCGTCCTTGCTCCTAGTAGCGATGCCAGGAGCCCCTAGTAGCTTCTTGTTACTAGTAAGGGGAGACAGCGGCGGTCGAACAAGTGAGAGACGCTGGGCGCTGCAGAATGGTCAAGAGCAATGGCCTCTTGCCAACTTGTAGGCCCCCTTTTCGATGATTGCCACCGCGAGGCAAGAGGCACTCTCCCATCTCTGAAACACACCATGCCCACACTAGCGTGAACCTTGGTGCACACAAGCCGCAAGCCTTGAAGAGTCCAGAAAAACACCATCCTCTTGACATCTCTTGACCAAGAAGGGAATGGCACAGACTTCAAACCTGAGGTATCCTGAGGTGTGAACACAAGTTCGTACATCTTCAGCAAGACAAAACTGCAGCACCCAGCCGCATAGCCTCTGGCCGCTCTAGCCGTCGCCACTCCAGCATTCTCCCCAGAGGGCGTGCCCTGTTTCAGCCTTCGGCCTCCGCTCGCCACACGCCACAGGCGTGTGGAGAGATCATATGGCTGGACCCAGCTCTGTACGCTTCTCACCTATCGCGTAGCGTAGAGGCCAAAAGCTGGACAGGCCGTCAAAGCCTTCCAGCTCTCGGAAGGGGCGACCGAACCCTTCGCCGCCTTCTTTCACAAGCTTCGCAGAGTGCTCAGTCGGAATGCGCTTTGCTTTGTGGCAGCTCAAGGCCACTACTTGGGATACCGCAATGCCAAACACAAGATGTGCCGGACACCTGGCACCAAAGCACTGTCCAACCTTACACCGTAACTCACCACACTTTCCTCAGCCTAGCTGTGGGGCTTGTCCGATGCGTCAAGCCTAACTAGCACTGTCTCATGGAATCCAGGGCGAACACATCGACCGGACGCACACTTCGACCAGTCCAACACCGGTCGCACCACTACCGCAGTGTGCGGTACGAGGATTACTGATTACTGCCGTTGACGAGGCGCCGCGGACTCCGAGCAACAGATCGACAAGCCCTAAAGAGCCATGCAAATAAGGAGCAGATCTCAAGAATCGGTGAACCGAACTCATTAAACTAATTTTAAAATCTATATATATGGCAAGGAATGGCCTCCAACCTAATAATAGCGATGGCCTCCAATAAGGACGTGCAGTGCACGTTTCAAGAATCATTGATGCTATCTTGCCATCATTGTCCTGCGCGTTGAAGCCCTTGATCTTATTGATACATTCCTGCATAAGGTTGCAAGCTAGGCCGAATGTGAATTAAACGTGATATGATGCAAAGGTATGCAAAGGTCAGCGCAATGGCCCCTCAGCAAAGGATGGAGCGTTAGCTTGTATTTTGATGGCATGTCAATCATGCCTTGGATACGGCTTGCAGCAGCAAAGCACCTTAGAAAAATGCAAAACACAAAGGCGAAAAGCTCTAGGCTATTCTGACAACTTTCCTTGGATGTGTTGACTATTGATTCACGACGTTTACTGATGCCTCATTTCTGCCGTGCTCTTTTTTCCCGGGCCGCGATCAAAGCTTTACGCTTCTGTTTTCACTTTGGACTGGAGGCTGTGATGATGCGCGCGGACCCTCTGGAAAACTGGGGCAGGTTGGATGGAAAGCCAACCCCTCAACCATTGAACCACAGGAAAGCCACTCTGTCAACTACAAAGATATGCCAGGCACCTTTGGCAAAGGCTCCACACGCAATATCTGTCTATCAATCCCTGCCGTCACGCCAGTGGCGCTCAAAGTCTCACTACCAACTCTCACTTGAGTTCCACGTGGAGCGTGTGGCG